AATAATATTCGAAAAGCATCACTTGTATCTGTAGATATATTTAACAAATATTTGAAAGACGAAATCATGGATATTATTGATTCTGATAAGGTACATTAATAATATCTGTTGTGAAAATTGTAATTTAATTTTATCTAATTTTACAGAAAATAAAACATTCTAAACTGTCAGAAGGTGTTGAATCGGCTCTTACAGACAAGAAATACGTTTCTGGTGTAGATACTTCAGTTTTAGAAATGTGTTATACCCCCATCATACAATCTGGTGGCTCTTACAGCTTGAAATTCTCGGCACTAAGCGACAAAAATTATTTGCATTTTGGAGCTATTGTTTGCTCCTTGGGCGCGCGATACAAATTTTACTGTTCAAATATATCACGCACTTTTTTGGTGAACCCCTCTGATACTATGCAAGATAATTACAATTTCCTTGTTAACGTACAAGAGGAAATTTTAAAATTATTGAAACCTGGCGCCAAGTTGAATGAAATATATGATACCACAGTGGAATATATAAAAAAGGAAAAACCAAAACTTCAGGATAACTTTACTAAAACCTTTGGGTTTGCTATGGGCATAGAGTTTCGAGAGAACTCAATAGTTATAGGACCAAAATGTCATGCTGAGGTGAGGAAGAATATGGTATTCAATGTGAACGTTGGTATAGCAAACCTCACCAATACAGAAGCTTCTGAGAAGGAAGGCAAAACATACGCCCTATTCGTCGGCGATACTGTGCTAGTAGGTGACACAGCACCGGCTAACATAATGACACCTTCGAAGAAAAAGATAAAAAATATTGGAATTTTTATAAAAGATGATAGCGAAGAGGAAGATGGCGATGAGAAAGAAGAGGTTAAAGAAGACAAAGGCTCGGAAATACTGGGTAGAAGCAAACGCAATGCTGTACTTGAAAATAAATTGCGTACGGAAACGAACACGGAGGAAAAACGGAAGCAACATCAAAAAGAGTTAGCTCAACTTCTCAACGAAAAAGCGCGGGAACGGCTGGCCAAACAGGGCGAATCTAAAGAAGTCGAAAAAGTACGAAAGAACACAGTCTCTTATAAATCAGTTAGTCAAATGCCACGAGAACCTGAAATAAAGGAACTAAAATTATATGTGGACAAAAAGTATGAAACTGTCATACTGCCAATTTTTGGCATACCAGTTCCCTTTCACATTTCCACAATCAAGAACATTTCTCAATCGGTAGAGGGCGAGTATACATACCTACGTATTAATTTCTTTCACCCAGGAGCTACGATGGGTCGAAATGAGGGCGGCCTGTACCCGCAACCAGAGGCGACATTCCTTAAAGAAGTGTAAGTTATAGAGTTTCAGCAAGTGCCTTATATATTATTTATAAAAATTATATATTTTTTCATTAGCACTTATCGCTCTTCTAACGTAAAAGAACACGGCGAAGTAACTGCACCATCAGCTAATCTAAATAACACCTTCCGTCTGATTAAAGAAGTTCAGAAGCGATTTAAGACGCGTGAAGCCGAAGAACGGGAGAAAGAAGATCTCGTAAAGCAAGATACGTTGATTTTATCGCAGAATAAGGGTAATCCAAAACTGAAAGATCTATACATACGTCCAAATATTGTAACAAAACGTATGACTGGTAGTTTGGAGGCGCACACAAATGGATTTCGCTACGTATCGGTGCGCGGTGATAAAGTTGACATACTCTATAACAACATTAAAAGTGCTTTCTTTCAACCCTGTGATGGTGAAATGATAATTTTGTTGCATTTTCATCTTAAACACGCAATTATGTTTGGCAAGAAAAAGCATGTCGATGTTCAATTCTATACAGAGGTTGGCGAGATCACAACAGATTTGGGCAAACATCAGCACATGCATGATCGGGATGATTTAGCAGCTGAACAGGCCGAGCGCGAACTGCGACATAAATTGAAAACGGCATTCAAGAGTTTCTGCGAGAAAGTGGAGTCTATGACCAAACAGCAAGTTGAGTTCGACACTCCGTTTCGTGAATTGGGTTTCCCTGGCGCACCTTTTCGCAGTACAGTTACTTTGCAGCCAACTTCGGGCAGTTTGGTGAACCTGACAGAGTGGCCACCATTCGTTATAACACTCGATGATGTAGAATTAGTGCATTTCGAACGTGTACAATTCCATCTTCGAAATTTCGATATGATTTTCGTTTTCAAAGATTACCAGAGAAAGGTTGCTATGGTAAATGCTATTCCAATGAATTTGCTGGATCACGTGAAGGAGTGGTTGAAGTAAGCTTTAATATTATATAATTATATTATCTTAAGTAGAAATTCTAAAACATCATATCTTGTGCACAGTTCATGTGATATCCGTTACTCTGAAGGTATACAGTCCTTGAATTGGGCAAAGATTATGAAAACTATCACAGACGACCCGGAGGGCTTTTTCGAGCAAGGCGGTTGGACGTTCTTAGACGCCGATTCGGGAAGTGAAGATGAAAAGGAGGAAGAGGAATCTGAAGAGGATGAGGCTTATGAGCCTACTGATATCGAATCTGACGAAGAATCAGATGAAGATGATTCAGAATATTCAGAGGCATCTGAGGATGAGAGCGATGATAGTGAAGGTAAACAAAAAATTACAAACAAATGTGAAAAATTTCGTAATAACTAATTACTTGGTTTTATAGAACTTGGCTCTGATGAGGAGTCGGGCAAGGATTGGTCAGATTTGGAGCGTGAGGCTGCAGAGGAGGACCGCAATCAGGAGTATACTGATGATAAACCCAATGGCAAACATTATGATTCAAAGAAGCACTCGAAAAGTTCAAAACACAGGTGAATAATCGAAATAAAGGCCAAACTTACATTTAGATGGGTTGTTGTAGTGTCAAGAATCGTCCAAAGCGCATAAAATTAAATATTAAATTAATTAATTAGATAGAATTTTATTTTGCCCCTCATTGATGTCTTATTGTTTAGCTAACTATCTTAACCTAAGTACTTATAAATATTTAATTCTATATTTTGCCAACATCACTTTACTGCAGTCGCAGAGATCGTGAAGTGCAGCTTCGACAGAGTAAAAAGAGTAAAAGTACTGCCTCAACTTCAAACTCATCACATTCAAAATCTGCCAAGCATGCCAGTTCGAGCGGGCATAGGTTTGTTATTCGCCACAAATGCAAATTAAACAAAACACACTTCGAAACTTATTTTTCTAAAATTTAGAAATTGGCAAGATTTAGATCAGATTAACAACATCAAAATTACTTATTTTATTAATCACCCAACACTGCCAGTTTATTTCTTAACATTACATTGATAAATTTTTTTTTAATTGCTCAAAAACAGCTCAAAGGATAAACATCATGATCGCAGTCGTGATAAGCATCATTCCTCATCGTCGTCGCACAAGGACAGGAGCAAAGATAAGGGCAATCACCATAGCAGCAGTAGCAACAGCCACAAGCGTTCGCGCGATGATAGTCGAGACCATAGCCACAAATCTAAGAAATCGCGTCACTGAGCCAGCACACAAGCGCAGGAGCGGTGTAAGAAACACAATTAAATAGCCCAAAATGTCCCACAGAATGAATGAATACTATGTAATGCACTGTTTGTTTAGTGTCTACTGTCCGATTATTTTGTATGTTTTGTTTGTCTCTAAAATCAGCCAGTTTAATTTCAGAATGTATATTAGCTATTAACAGAGATTGAAATTTATAAACATTAAAAATAAGTTTGAATATAAATAAATATTCCATTTTTAATTCTTGTGTCCTTTCATTTTTCCTTTTGATTACAAAAGCGTCTCATGAATACAAGTAGTTACAGCTGTTTACTTTATTTGATCTTCAATGGGATATCAAATATTTATTGTAGCGAGCATAGGTGATTAGCGCAAAAACAATAATTTGACGGTAATATTTGAACATGATGTCAAAAATCAACCATTTTGCTTTCCTGATATTTTGATATAAGGTCTAGCAAACAGAAATCATTAATTTTTCAAATAGACAGTTTTAGCTTAGCTTTAGAGTGCACTTGGGCTACTCTTTCTGACGATAGAAAGATACGATTTCATACTAAAAACAACTTCTCAGATAGTTTTGTGATTGCTTGGCTCAATATTGTTTGAGCACGCTTAAAAATGGATACCAGCAAAGTGAAAGTGCGCCACATGTCTTCAATAAAGGCGAAAATCAAGGCAAGGCTGAAAATGTGAAAAGTGCTTATTGTCTTGATACCGTAAAAGTCAATCATACACAAAATTTCGTCGATTCCGTTCCGGTGATTTTGATGTCAAAGATGCACCACGCTCTGGAAGCTCAAACGCTTAAATTTATCGATACAATAAAGTAAATCGCCGACGCCTACCGTCAGGTAAGCACTGTGTCGATTGTCCAGGAGCTAAACATGGCACAAAAAACCCTTTGGTACCATTTAAATAAGGCTGGATGCAATAAGAAGCTAGATGTATTGGTTTCACATAAGTTAACGCAAAAAACCCAATTTCACAAGCGTATGGTTATTGGTGATGAAAACTGGGACACTTACAACAACGTCAAACGCAAACGGTCAAAGTCGAACCGCCGTGAGAAAGCATAAAAGCTGGCCAAGCTAGAAACGTGTTCCAATGTTTGGGGGTGAAGAAAACAATAGTCCAGAAGCAACCAATAGGAGAAGAATTGTGTTCCATCAGGTCAAATCCAGGCCACACATTTCAATAGTGACTCGCTAGAAGCCCAAAGGGCTTGGTTGGGAGGTTCCTATAGATCCGTTTTATAGACCGGCCTTCACACCAAGTGATTAATACCTGTTCTTGTCGATGGCGAACGATTTTGCTTACGAGAAACTTGTGATAATCGAAAGCCTCAGTTTTTTGCCAATAGGAACGAGTATTTCTATAAGAGTGACGTTACCTGAATTTATCCTCAAAACGACAACAAGTTACCGAACAAAATAGTGCATATTTGACTTAAACCGAATAATTTATACTTTTACTTTTCATAACTAATATAAACATATGTTTTCCAGTATTAAAACAGATTACTTTTTTAATTTAATTTAAATTTTCTACAATTAAAATATGAACGAGAATACATAGGACAAAGCTAAAGATAATCCGACATTAACAGTTGCGTAGTTTCACCAAGTACAAAAACCAAATTCATTGTGTTTGGTTCCGTTTGCTCTCCTGCTTCTATCCACTCCATATCTCTGGCTCAAACATGATTTCACTAACCCAAGACTATTACTATTTTCAACCTTTTGAAAATCGATAAATTGCACAATAGGAGGAGATTCTGGGTAATTAAAATAAGCTCTTAACAATACACTATTCAAAGAGCTGCTATCATGATCATCACTAGTGATTTCATTTCCGCTTTCCACTAGCATTTCGCACTGCACTATTGCCGCCACAAGCACCAGAGCCACCGCCAAATCCAGCATCTAGACTGCGGTGTTTCACATCAAACATGTTGCGAGTCTTATTGATGGGGAAGCGCATTTTGTTGCGCAACCATGTGGTGAAGGCCCGTTCATTGTCATGCATTTTGCGCATCTCTGCATCGTTGGCCTTTAACGTCTGCTGCAGTACATTACGCTGTTGCCGTTGCATATTCTCTTCGCGCACCTCGAGTTGTTGGCGACTCAGGCCGTATTCTGATAGATATCCTGTATATTTGGGTAGTTTCTCAGGTTGCGACAAGTGACGCCGATATTCGCAACAGGTACGGTAGTTTAATTTTAAATCGGTGACTTCGGGTGGTGGTAACTGGGGTCGACGCGCACGAGATGAGGCGCTATGAACACTGCTGCAGCCATCTCCATCATGGCTTGTTGTGCCGATGGCATTACGAGCTAGTGACTTACCACGGAAAGAAAAGCGTTTATTTAGTGGGGCGAGTAAGCGTCGTGATTTGTTAATGGGTTTGAGGCGACCACTGCTCAAGCGTTTCTGATCGAAATCATCGGGAAGATAAGACGCAACTATAATTGAGAGGTCATCGTCATCGTCGTCATTGTCACAACCCTCCGTATTTGTCACATCATTATTCGAGAAGTTGGATACTTCGTCGGCAAGCATTTTTGTTTTGCTTTCGGCTTCGTTTGTACTCGTATCTGCATCAATATCGTCTACATCAAGGTCGCTATTGTCCTCATTAATATCGAATGTGGCAGCGCTGCAGCACTCTTCTTCTCCATCGGAAGTTAGGAGGTTAGTCAGACTTTTATGGTCCTGCTCTTCTTCATTTGTATCGGGTGGATCTTCTTCGGCGCAATCAAATGTACGCATTTTTACCATGCGACGCGAATTGTCGATTGGTATATTTATTGTACCTGGTATTATTTCCTTATTTTCCATCTCCATTACTACAATTTCCTCACAAATCTCTTCCACAATATCATATTCGACATCTATCTGAGGGGTTGACTCAGATCCTATTGGGTTTGAGACATCCACTGTTGACTCTTGTATAATTGTTGCACCCACTTGTGTCACATCTGTTGAAAGAAGAGCTTCTGCGACACTATGGTCTGTCGTATCTGTCGCAGCCACTTCTGTATTAGTTGTTTCTTCGATAATCGTTTGATATTCACAAATAGTCGTTAATTTTCTATCGAGCTCCTTTGCCTCGGCAACTGCTTCCTCGAATTCGCGTGTAAGTTTCAGTGTTTCCAAGAGTGCATTATCCGGTTCGTAAGTTTCTAAATTAGGTGCAAATGTCACTTTGCGTAGTGGGACTCCAGCCCCTGGTTCTGTTGATAAATCTTCAGCGATATCGATGGCATCCATACAGACTATCTTCTCATTAACTTCCGTCATTTCTTCAAATAATACTTTGTTCGCTTCTTTGATTTTCTCCGCAATGTTATACTCGTTGACGGGTTTAAGGACTAAAATTATATTTATGTAAATAATTGTATGTGAAAGATAGATTGTTATAGTTTCGGCATAATAAGCTCGTTAGTTTAGAGTTGTCTATATTTAAGCTTCAAATCTTCACTCAATTAATGAACTATCGAGCTCGTTTAAAAATATTACTTACAGTATACCTCACAGTCTTCATCCGACTCGTTCGATTCATGTTCAATTGAACTTAACTCTGTTGCCATTATGCGATTTACAATTGACCCGTACAATTACCGTTTCACAACAATGTCGTTAAATTTTTAATGAATTTGTTACAAGCTACTGTAAAAACACAGACAAGAATATCCACCACTAAACTAGAAACATTCATATGTATCCGTGCTCTAGGGTGATCGTTAGTTTTTGTAAGCATTCTACCTATCACGATACATTTGCTCGACGTGACCTATTAATATCGAAAGGCTTTTACGGCCTACACCGTTCTACTACATGGGTTGAAAAGTCTTTGAACTAACCTTGATCTCGATAATAGATTAATCCAGTAATGAAAAGGATTTTTGTTTATTAATTATTTTTCGGTACTCGAGGTAACATAGATAATGAAAAGAATGTAGAATTTTGAATATAAACTTATTTAAAAAGGCAAAACGGAATTGTTGAATTGACCGATAAGTATTTTTAAACAAGGTCAACAACCAACCACCTTAGTGGTATAAAACAATGACCGCCACAATCTCGTGACTTTTGTATTCCATCAAATATTTATAAAGAATAGTTTGCATAGGGCGGCTGGTCAGCCAAATGTTATTTGACATTCGAATAAACTGGTAGTACAAAAAACGCTATATACTATATACAATACATACATACATCACTTAAGTATATATGTATATATACTTGTAATAATTTCTTCAAAACATACTACAAATTTTTTGACCATCACACAAATATACTTGTAGAACAGAAATTTCACTTTCTTGCTCATAGACATTAAAAATTGACTGAATAGTAGTCCGCTTTGTGGACTCGTTCATAGTTCATCGAGCATAAACACCCACACTCGATTTCTATACTCGCAGTGCATGAGCCAAAGTCGTACCGTCCGATTGTTAATACCCTAATACCACTGTTCACTTAATTTGATGTGATCCATAATTGGTGAGCTTGCCTCTTCATGCAAAACTACGGTTTGCAGTAACGTTTTATTTCTGTCATTAACACCGTGCAAATAAATTTTTTTTGTCTGTAATTCGATGGTTCCGTGCCAATTGCTTTTGCGACTTTAGTAAATTTCCATTCTCCCATTCAAAGTAACGGTATAACTAGTTGGTTATCAATAACAGCTGAGAAATATTATGCTTGTTATTCTCTCTGTCACGTATACGACCTCTAGTTCTGGGTTACTCGGGAGCATTGTGGTTTTGTTGAATCAATAATACAGTTAATCTAATGCTACTGTTAAATTTTGTAGAAGAAAGGGCTTTGTCCCTTAATTTCAACATGTTGCAACAGAAAGTATAATAGTTGTGTTCATCTAACGGTTGTTTATAACACCTAAAACTAATCGGGATAGATATAGAGTTATATATTACATATACCATTTGTATGTATTTAATGATCGGGATGACGAGTAGTTCAATTTAACTCTACAATAAGATGAAATAAATTTATTTGTTACAACGAAACGCATTAGGGTGGAGCATCTGTGTTTTTAAAAATTCTGAAAAAGTGGGTGTGGTCCTGCCCTCTAATAGGTTTAATATTATATATATATTTCCAAAACCGGTCAAGTTAAATAAACAAAATTGCTTAGGACAAATCTTTCGGCCCCCCTCAGACTTAAATTAAAATTAAGTTTTGCACCTGAGACGATAAAAACAGGACGTTATAGGTCCCGGTATCAAAATTGGACACCTTTAGGTAAAAACCCATATTGCAGGACCAATTCAATCAAATTCGTTAGATGCTATTATCTTGATATTCATATATTACGGTGTGAAAATTGGCGAAATAGAACCACAGAACATACTTCTAACGGATATAATACTAAAAATCGAGTCTAAAAAGGCTTTTAAACTTCCGATTGACTTTATACCGTATATACTGGCTAATATATGAGATATCGTAAAGAAGCCAATTTGTAAGATAACTTAGCAAAATTATGTGAACATATAATATTGGTTATACATATGTAAATATGTATTACAATTTAATTCAGAAAATGGTTAAAATTGGTCAACAAATTACCCGAGCTACCATATACTACATTTATTGATTTACGTTAATTTAGCAGACTTTATGTCGAATATATTTGAGTAAAGGCACAAGTTAACACAATCAGTCCAGAACTATACCCAATATAATGATTTACGGCTTTAAGCCGTTTATGTTGGTCAATTTATGTGATATTTCAAAGTTTTCATAAGCATAATGTGGTTTAGCACATATCAATGAAATTGCTCTAGAGCGTAGTTAATACCCTTATCCTTATTATAATAATTTCCGTTTCACTGGGTAATTTGTTTTTCATATACCCAATGTATTAAATCTGGCTTTTTTGGCTGAGTTTTTATCACATGTATATCATTTGAGTTAATTAGTTGCTATTTATAATACCAATATCTCAGATTTGAAGCAAAATATAATGAGACTAAGTTGGTCTACATCCTGTAATAGAATTTAATAAGATATCAAACATGATTGTAAGTCTTTCACCTTTTTGTCAAATAATGATTGTTGAATTGTTTCACAACATTTTATACTCCATAAATGATCAGGGTGACGAGACGACTTGAAATCCGAGTGACTGTCTGTCCGTGCAAGCGATAACTTCAGTAAAAATTGACATATTGATGAAATTTGGTACACAAAATATTCCATTAAACGAAAGCCTGTAAAGTGTTATAAATAAGTACTAAATTAAGATACAAAACTGTAATTTGGTTCAAGGGATCGCAGTGATAAGGGGCTCTTGTGTCATAAATGGGTAAATCTACATATCCTAGGCCTTTAGGAGGCCCATTGTGATACCACCGGGGTATCACTCTACTGGTTCCTCTCTGCACCACTCCGTGCCTCTGATGAACTTTATCAATATGACAAGTTTTATCTGTGCAAAATCCCAGAGGTCGTTAAGAAACCTTCAACAGATACTCAGTTACGATACTTTTTCTATATATAGCCTTACAATCGCATAGAAGATGTGTAATGGTCTTCTCCTCTTCTACCTCATGGCAGCTTCTACAATAGTCATTATATGGCGTTCCTAGTCTACTGGTATGTCTGCCTATTCGACAGTGGCCTGTTAGTACTCCTACTAGAGTTGTTATATCAATCCATTTAAATTTTAATAGTCGGCATGTACGGCCCATATTCCAATCCTACTCCGTTTGCATGCTTGTTGAATAGGTCAGGGATTGATTCTATCGAGACTCTGCTATGCTTAAAATATGTTTGTCAATTAAATATCTACAAGTAGCCAGAGGCATATATATTCCCTCCTTTCCGGACTTAAGTTGTATGGTGGTGCCTGTTCTGCCTAGACACTGCAGTGGTTGGGAAGACTAAAGGCGATTTTGGTATCTAGTTTAGCAGAGAAGACACCGCCGCTCACTCGGTTATCTGGTTTGGAACCATCCGTATAGATGCTTATTCGTGCGTCCTTGCCCCTTCCCACTCTTCTCTGAAAGGGATGCAAATATTGGGGATCGGATTTAAATCGAACTTTGTAGGATTTCGAAAATCCGTAATGGGAACTTTCTAAGTATCATAGAATGCCCCTTGTTACTGGCAACTAGTAGAGATGATTCCCTCGGTGTAAGAGCTGCATTCGCTGACATTTGCTTACAAAACAAGTTTGTTGGCAGTAAGTGTAAAATTACGTTTAGTGCCTGGTTTGGCGTTGTTCTGAGAGCTCCACTGATGCAAATTTTGGCTGCTCTTTGTACACTTTCCACACGTCTTACCGCTTACTTTCTTTTCTGTTATTCGCCACCATACAAATATGGCTACGGTGGCTACACGAGGCGTTAATCCCCATCTGGGCCCCACCATTCTTTTACACGTGTAAAGTGCTATAGCTGCTTTCTTTACTCTAGCTTCCAAGTTTGGTTTCCAAGAAAACTTCGTGTCCAAAATTAGTCCCGAGTAGCGATGTCTAATCTTCTTCTACTTCTGGAATACTGTGTTTCTAACACATATTTTTTTCATTGTTAGGATTAAGAGAAGTGGAGATAACACGCCTCCTTAGGGTGTACTCTTTCGGACAGATCTGTACATCGTTGAAGCTCCCAGCCTTGAAATAATTGACCTGTCCATGAGCATCTGTTCATTTAATTTCCGGAGAGGCTCAGAGATGCCCAAATTTTTAAGCGCACTTTGTATGACCTTTGGCTGGATGTTATTGAAAGCGCCTTTTATGTCTAAGAAAGCTACAAGGGTGTATTCTTTTATCTCCAGAGACTTTTCAATCTCTGCCACCGCCGAGATTAGTGTCGTTTCTATGAATTTTCCCTTGGAATACGCATGCTGCGAAACTACCATTTTTACTGGATTTAGTTTGTTCCTTATGTATAACTCTATTAGTCTATCCGACATTTTTAAGATAAATGCGGAAGGCTAATTGGTCTGAAATCCTTTGGATTAGTGTGTGAGCTTTTGCCCGCCTGTGGTACATATATCACTATGACTTTCCTCCATAATGAGGTAATATAGTTTAATTGCAGTGCCCCTTTAAGAATGTTTGTTGACCAGTTTATTATGTAGCTTTGGGACTTCTGTAACTGAGCCGGGAATAAACCGTCTGGTCCCGGCGATTTGTAGGGCTTGGAGCTGCTTATCGCTCAATAAACATTACTGACTGACACTGTGTCTACAGGAGGCAATTAGGCTTCCACTTCACTGCCCAGTGTATACTCCATTGTGTGGTTTTCGGAGCTGCCTGGGAAGTGAGTATCCATTTGCAGGCCTAAAGACTCTTGAGTGGATACTGCCCGGCTGCGTAAACTTTCTGTATATTCTTAAGTACGGGAGACCACCAGGTGGGCCTTATTCTTCACCTACTACGCGTTATTGGACAAGCATCCTCTTATGCTTGTTGACAATAATCTGTGAACTGTTCAACAAGGATGTCTCTTCAATTATGCATTCAATGTAGCAACTCACCTTTTTCATTGATATACGTGCTGCTCCATAACGTGTGATGTGCATTGAAATCGCACCCAAGTATAGTCAAGAACCTGGATGCTTCGTGGTACCTCTACTTCATCATACAGCATGTAGCATAACACCAGCCGGTATTTTCTGCTGCCCGTCTCCCAGCTCACTGCTGTGGTATCTTAATAATTATAGCTATGTAATAAGAAGACATTAAGCTTTTTATTAGCCATTATACATGTCCTAGCTTTACCTACACAGTTTGTCCATGTATAAATTATAACCCAGTGTCCTCAATCCGCAAATACGCCCTCCATTAACCTGTGGCACCTGAACGAGGACGAAGTCGGGCTGCTTTACTGTCATGCGGTTAATTAGGGCTAGAGAAGCTAGTTTGCTGTGGTGGATATCAATTTGAGAAGACGCATTAATAATTGTCTTCTCTGCGTCTTCTTGAGAGTCGCTCGAAAGCGCCCTCTTAGTGTATAGTTTAGAGAGCTGTCTTCAAGCTAAGACCTCGAAGTACTCACCTTGCTCAGTGTTTTCCACGTCACTCGAGGACTGCGTTGGATCTTCCTCGTCTTCACATTCCGTTTCCGATTCCAAGTTGTCTACTGCATCGGCGTCCGACTTGTAGGTCATGACCTTCACTTTTGTAAATCCGTAGTTGATTTCCCCGTCACTTTTCGACAGGGGTTCTAAGGATTTTTTTGTTAACAACAGCAGAATCTGCATTGTGGCTCGTTTCGTCTCCATACAAGATTCAGCTGCGGGGTCTTCGAAGGCCTTGACAAATCTCCATCCCCCAGTGGGCAGATTCGGGTTGCAGGCTCTGATGAGCTGCATTATCTGGTCCGGCTGCGATGGTGTTGCCGGGATCCATACCCTAGCCCTTGGTCGGGATGGGATATCCTTCTTGTCTACCGCTACAAGCCTGGCTCCAGGGTAGACCTCCCCTACATTGGCTATTGCGGCCTTATATAGCTGGACCGATCTTTCGTCGTCACAAGCTATCATTTTAATTTGGCCCTGGTACCATCCGGCATCCGTACATGACGGGGGTGGACCTGGATTGCTTAATAGCACTTCCATTGCCACATTAGTCAGTGCGGCTTGCACCCATTTCCATTGGGCTCTGGGGATTTTTCCTTCGGGATCTCCTTCATCCAGCACACCAATGATAATACGGTTCCGGGCTACATCAGCAAATGATTTTGCGGGCGTTACGCTCTTAGTCTTCGGTCTCTTGGCCGACGGCTTAGCCTCTTCAGCTGACCTTTGTCTCTTGGCTGCCACTACTGGCGGTTCCAGTTTAAAATTAGGTAGAACTGCTCTCGCGCAGTCAATAGAGTTTTGGAGTTCCTCCGTTAGCTCCTCCTTGTTTGGCGGTTGCAGCTCTACCTTTCTCAGGAGGTATGCAGCACGTCGCTTTTCCGCATACCTCGCCTTCGCTGGGTCTTCGATTCTAAAAACCGGCCATTCTCTGGCTGACGCACTAGTAGCAGCAGCACTTTTGGCTTCTCCTTCCTCCCCCTGCTTAGCAGCCAAGCTTTGGCTACAGGGTAAGGTAATGGCTGCCTCCAGTGCTGTCCCTTTCTTGGAGTCAGCCTTAGCTTCCGAGCCAGTGCTTGCCTTATCACCAGGACCAAGCTTCGCTCCTGTCCTCACGCTGGCTATTCTCGAGTTAGTAACGAACGCTACTCTTTTCTGAAAACTACCACCTCCCTCCGGCTTTTTTATAGGAGCTCCGGACTCCTTAAAATTTGCATTTTTATTTTTGTTGATTTGGCTCATATTTGGACCCACGAGTGTAGGGGAAAGTATGTCCGCCTGCGCATAGCCCCCTTTACGCAAGTAAGGCTATCTTATTATGGAGGGCGCCAGGTATCCGTAAGCTCCGTTCGAGACTGGGCTATTTAAGGGCCCCCAGCCATGTTGATCCTCGGCACGGGTCGCATGACACCTTGATCCAGCCCTTTAAGTACCCCCAACCATAGTAAGACTCCCTATCTGAATGTTGTGCTATTAAGGAGCAACGAACACCCAGGTAGGAAGTCTGACCTTAGCTAGATACCTCACTGCTACAACAGGGGCGAGCCAGCCCGTCCCTGCTTACGTAGTGAAACTGTGGTATCTATTACCAGTCGGCACCCTCGGGGAGGGTTCAGCGGGGGATTTTTGCCGACCACTGAAGCTAACTCAACCAAACTTGCTGCGAAAGTCTTTTTAGCGTTTCCTTATGCGAAAATGGAGTAAGTAAAATAATAACCACGCCCACACCCCCTTTAATGCCTATGTTGAAAATAACTAAAAGTGCGATAACTCACTGAATAAAAGATTCTCAAATATTAAATTTCACAGTCAGGATGGCTGGGAAGGTCTTTACGGGAGGGCGGGCCATGTGAGATATCCTATATCCTATTTCCTATATCTCCATCCATTAAAATAGTTTCCCATCAGAGTTGATTGGGTTTTCTTTTAACCTGTTTTTATCGACACATATTTTGATTAGCTTTCCGCTGATTACTGAGAATATTTAAATTATACTTTACCTGTTTTGTGTCGAGGGAATCAGAAAACAAACTTTTGATTTTACTTTAAATAAGAGTCGAGATATTTATTATCGCTTATTGCCTGCATTAAAAGTGTACATTATGTGTTATATATTGTATGTATATATAAATCGATATAAAAATTTTAAATGAAATAAAAAAAATATTTGCCAGAAATAGTGGAGGGACATAGATCGATTACCTAAATACTAGGATATTGATAATTAGTAATTAATAATTAAAAGTAAATATCGCAAGTACTATGGTTTTCACATTTTCACATTTTGCAAACATGTATTCCGCTATAGTTTCTTGTTTTCTACAACCATTTCACTGCATTTGCAGAGAGCTAAACTTTTTCACAATATATTTTTCATGCAAGTGCAATTTTGACACCATGTACATGTACATGTATGTATACCATGTAGGTAAAATAAAATGGATATATTAAATTCTTAATTTGTGGGGCTTAAAGAATAATGGAAAATTTGTATAAAAAAAAAGATATAAGTAAATTTTTTGGTTTTCTTATTTTTTAGCCTTATGTAACACATTCGATTAAACTGTTTTCTGCTATTGCAGCTTACATACTTATGTAGTTAGTTGCTCCAAAGCCTTATCGATTTTTATTTTATTATTACTTATTATTAAATGTTCTGACTTAAGCTAATTATGTCGTTTTTCTTTATTTAATTTAATTTTTTCAATATTTTCGAAATTATACAAAAGTATTACAAAAAGAAAGTCTTCGCATTATACACACACATGCATTCCCAACAATACATTTTATTATAAGTATTTTCCCAAACAAAACATTAAAATAAACAACTCTACGAATTCATTTAGATACCATGGAGATTTTGATATTCCAGTAGTAAATATCAATTTGACGAAAGTGCGGACTTGTAAGGAGAACAGGCGTTTTAATTGCAGTTGGGCTAAACAATCGCTGTAAATCAAGCTGATATTACGTGGAGTGTTTCTGCAAGCGAGAACGTTTATAAGTAGAATGGATAAAGACCTTGAAACAGCATTTATTTACATCATCAGTGATCGAGATAGTGGCGGGGTCTGGTACAATTCCTCCCGGGTCCACAGTGATCTGGAGTTTTTTTTGCACATTTGCTTCTCCAACAAATTATGGATCAGGGGATCCTCTCCTATATCCTACCCGGGCCCCTCCTTTCTCTCTACGGCACTGTATATCATAGTATAACTTTTTTCATAACAATATGTACATATGTATGTACGTATGTATATAAAACATTTAAAATTGCTTTTTAAACGAAATTAACTTTCAGTTAACAGTCAGAACAGTTTTAAAAAATCAGTTTTATTGAGTAATTGTAAATATGTTTTCGCTGAAAATTGATTTTAATTTTACTCAAGAGTTGCTTTCAAAAATGTGCCTCCAAAAGTGTCCACTCTGTGTATTTCTAAATTTGTTACGTAAATTTCTTTAAAATGTGTGTACTTTTTAATTCAGCATTACGCTTAGATGATATTATAATTCTTAATTTTTAGTGGCGTGCAGGCGTTCTTGTTAACTTTTTGCATATTTTACATTTAAATATTTCTTTTTTGAAAATGTTACAATGGAATCGTTTGGCCACTGTTAATGCATTGATTTTTATATTTTTATTTAGATATTTCGCAGGATTCTATGCAAAATTTTAAGACGACTGTATTAAATATCAGTTTCGTGCTTGGATTTATTACAAATGTAGTTTTGTGTTTTGTTTAGCCACTTCAGTGTGACTACCGCCTAAAGCTCCTTTAACAGTGAGTGGCCCCCCAAACTTCCATTGTATTTCACTTATTTTCAAATTTTCGTTTTACATATGCAATTTGTAGCCATACAAGTTGTATCGAATTTCTGTTTACACCTAGGTCCACAGCGATAAACAACTAAATACAAAATTATTTTCCAGCGACTAGGGAAATTTAGAAATTTGTACGTAATAAAAATAAAAGAGTGACATTTATTGTTTCATTGCTTTCTACGTTTTACTATAGTATACCGATTATGCAATATCAGAAGCGTTTATAGTATATTTTATCTGGATACTAAGATGAGTTAGAGACGCAGCTTTCTAAGTCATATAAATTTGGCGTGCACTTACCCGCCAAGCCGAAGTAATGTACGAGTACATATATATGTATATATGTGTGAATTTAGTCAAACTACACATCATCAAAATGACGTGTGTTCGGATGATTCGGATGTTTCTAGACAATTCGATATTTTAGTGTATTTGCCTTGGAAACTGCCTTGCTCCACGAATAAGTTAAGATGTAATGATGATGTTGTGATGTTAGTAATAAAAAATCAGTTACTTGTTAAGCCCGGCGGATACTACAATATTTCCACCGTAATAATAGCTATGTTTGAATAATTCGACTATGCCGCCGGTTAACACACAACACCAAATCTCTAAGACGACAAAACATCTCTGTATGCAAAGGATAATGCCAAGCTCTGCACGCTGGATAAACATACATACATGTACATATGCATATGAGAATATGCAACTCGATGCGTATTAAGACATTCTACTATCAGTTTTATCATTGTCATGGCCAACGTTTTGATTAATGCCATCACCCATGTTGTAGTCATCGGCGTCGTTGTCATATTCATTGTTGTCTACCCATCTATGTTGGTAGTCGACGGTGTTGGAGTCGACATTGTTTTATGTAAACAACGGCAGGTGGTAAAAGTCGAACCCTCTGTATCCCTTGGCTGCTAGCCAAATGTAGACGACATGGTAGGCGCCCGGTATGAAGCAGATTAGACCGGCGACAAAGAACACCACACCCTGCGATGTGTTCGCCGGATCTGCGACAGCGAATGTGCCGAATACAAAGAGGCCAGTGCCGACAATCAGCAAGGTGACAGCCGCTAATACAGTTCGCCAGTTTTCGCGCACCTTCGGATGCCGCCAACAATATGTGTTTGTCTCCTCTGTGGGTATGTTGCCATACTCCTGGATCAGCGAGTCACTGTCACGCGATGTAGTATCCTCTGCGTATTTGGTGTAGTTTCTGTAAAAACGTAAACAAAATACGAAGGTCTTAATTAGAGAAGAGTAAATATAAGCAATAAGATATGCATATAAATGTAAATCGTATAAATACTCATACATAGGCATATCCCAAATAAACGTATAAACTCAGACAGCTCACAGAAAACTATGCGTGTTACGCGATAATAACGTCCAAAAACATCATAATAATCTAAATAATAAAATTTGAATGACAATATGACTATGAGAAGAGCAAAAGGAAAAGAGAAAATCGCCGACGTGCTGACTCATCTTACCTTATCTCTCATGGGATCGTTACATATGTCTTTCTAGGGTTAACTTAGGTTAAGAGGTCGATAATAACAGGGATCTCACTTGGCACTTTTTAATACCGTTCTGTTGTGGTTTCTAAAATTGGGCATAAAGATCCTAATAGATAGACAAAGCGGTTTGAGCCGATCACAAATTTGTTGAGGCGGCTAATGTAAGTTTCGGCTGTCTCCTCGTGCGCCGAATGTATGGCTGCTGATTTTTTTCAACTTCAGTATCGCAAAAGCTGGACAATTTCTTCCATAGAACTTTGACAATTTGCGTCCGACTGAAGCTTTATAGCATGAATGCCTATTGGACAATCCAGTAAAAACTCCTACGATGGCGGCAAGATCAACATGTCTTTCTAAGTAAGCCGACTTTTGTTAGACGGTTTGTAATTCCCATATGTAGATACAAAGGTTCAAATTCGTCAGGTGGAACGAAACTATACAAAATTTCCTTCGCTTTTTAGTTGTATTACCTCTTCATTTCCATATTTGTAATGATTGAAAGACGCTGGTGCTAAAACTTACACTTGTAATTCAAGAAACACTTAATTTTTGTTTCTGTAATATTTCGGGCATCACAGCCAACTTCTAAAGGTTCTAAGTTAAAATCTTAGTCAAGGACGTTTTATAGTAAAATAAGAATGGTAAAAATTTGTAGAATATATATTTTATATACATATATTTTATCAAAATTCCAATAATAATTTTTGGTTTTTACAATAACACTCAACATTTGCCAAAGAGTTTCGATTACTCGCCATAAATCTCAATTCCATCGCGGTTAACGCACGAAAAAGGAAATGGCGATAACTACAGGTTATAATTAATATTTCGTATTTTCTTCAAATATTTTAGCCTCCTTTAAGCAAAGTTATTCACATAATAGAGCTAACAGCTTCTAATTGCTTAAATATTAATAATAATATACAAGTACTATTATATTATATTAACAATACTATTGCTTGCAACTGGTTAAATCTCGCCGATTATGCGATAAATCTCGTATTTATAATATATGAATCTAATAACAACTGATAATATGCCAACTCTTCAGCGTTCACATAATGACATAACTACATATGGTACACTCTCCAGTGTTCACAAATAAATTATCGTTTACATATTTTAATATGCACTCTTTTGAATGGCAAACAACCGCGGTAATTAAATAAGATGATGGTTTGTTGACCTATTTTGGTGTAGCAATGCAGTCGCGAGTATCGACATGGTGTACTCACACTACACAAGTATAGCCGACCAATGTCCTCAAATCCGCAACGCTCAATCAATGTTTACATTGGCAAGTAAATAGAGAATATGCTAAAATGATGGATGCCAGTTGTTTTCTAACTTCCTTGCAATTGCTATATAATAATAAAATATTGTTGGTACGGAAAATGAACATGGACTAGTCCATTCATGCTGCTTACGTAAGCGGAATAGAAATTTAGGTTAGTATTACCTTCTTTGATATTAGGGTGACGTTTGTTTTATGCACGAAACCCATCATCGTCGTGTTATCATTAGACTCAAAGCAGCGGCTCTTAACATCAGTTCCAGATCTCCAAATTTATATTTATGGAAAAATGGTTTAAGGATTTGGACGACCCAGGGCTTTTGGTCTTATATTTTTTGTTTTGATTGTAGTTCTCGGAAATTTCGTGGTTTTGGTAATAAATCGACACATTTCCATGTAACCACATTAAAAAAATTAAATAAAACAAAACAAAAAACCTTAATTTCGGTTGCACCGAATAAAATATATACCCTTCACAAATAATTGATTGGTCAATCTGTTTGGCATATATATGATACAGTGGCCCGATATCGGTGGTATCGAAAAATAAGTAGTGGGTATGAAGGGAAAAAGGACATGTGCAAAATCGATTTCTCAAAAACGGGGGACTAGATCGCGTATATACAGACAGGAGGACCTGGCTAAATCGACTCACTCGTCACGATGATCATTTACATATATATATATAATTTGTAGGATACCCGAAGTTTCCTTCTGGGTGTTACAAACTTCGTGTAAAGCGTAATATACCATGTTCAGGGTGTAAATATTCCATTTGGTAATTTTCTGTACAATATTCATAACACTCATTTCAAACCGCAAATTTTCTTTCTGATCATGGAATATTTCGCAAAGTGAAGAGCAATGGTCACGAGCGTAACTTTCGGTAAATGCAAAAATCTTAAAAATACTTTTAATTTATTGGGACTAATAACTACTTTTTAGCCACAAATCTTATATACTTATTATGTGAAAGTTATTGTCTTCTGATTTTATTAAAGTTGCATTGGTTAAGTCGTTAGACAGAGAGTGAGTTGCGAGGTTGGCGATTTATCGAGAAATCCGTTACAATGTAAATATTCAAAGATAGCGCAGGGTTCCAATGCAAGTACTGCTAACTTGTTTCAAAAACTGGTGTTCGATTCACTTTTCTCCAACGCTTGGCGAATCGAATACAGCTAATATTAGCCTTCATTGGGGAATCGCTTTAGGAAATTGTTTTCAAAAAGTCGAAATCAATTATAAAGATATGTTTTTTTTTTCTGCCACGTTGAATTTCGCTTAGTATTTTATTTTGTTCTTTTTCGCACGAATATAACATTTCCTTAGTAATATAATTTCCTAAGTGTTAGTCATAAACTCAATGATCACAAAGACTGTTTCACAGCCTACGCAATCGATACTTTCGAGCTGTAGGATGGTTGCGAATTTCATCACTGGCAGAAATGTAGGCAGAAAGGCAAAATTAATACACGAATGCAATAGGCGGTTATTACGCACATATTTAAAACCAATATGACGAAGCACATGTCGTGATCTTTCTTTATTTTTATATACAGTAAAGCATGAGCAATTTTGTAAATTTTTTGTTGGTAGCCTTGGTAAGTATTTATTATTAGTAGTATATTTAAAACTCAAAATAATGAGTATTCTGATGACTAATCATCTAACAATATTTTTGCAAATGCTGCCCAAGCTTTTCCCATTAGTTAAAATGGAGTTATAAAAGAAATAAGCCAATGCAACAGTGACGAATAATTCAGGAGATTAATTTTTGAAAAATTTTGTTTATATGCAAATGCTTACATACATATGTATGTGTAAAATTTCTGATGGCTTAAGTTTACACAATAATTGAATAAAAGCTTACGTATACATGTTGAAACATTTTTATGAATACTGCAAAAATATTTATTCCGGGTTAACCTTTCATCTATCAGTGGCTACCTTTTATAGCCCTTGTTTTATAGTCAGTGATAAATTTTGACGTTTTCGTCTGTATATACAAATGTTCGTATGCTTGTGTGTACATTATTTATTTATTTGCTTCTGATTTCACAGATAATAAAAAGCTTCGGGGTTAATGACATCAATATTCGGTCGTTAGCACATCGATTCAATTTATGGACAAAGAAATCAGGAAAAGATGTGGAAATGTTTTTGAGATTTGCAAATTGCTTACATTCGAACAAATACAAAAGGAAACAAGTGTCATACAAAATTAGTTGCTTAACGGTACAACCATTTATTTATGTGTATAAATATGTATTTTGTTTTTATATTTTAATTAATGCAATTAGTTTCATAAACTCCAACATCTTAACTTTTTAGTTTAACAGAATAGCATATTTTAAAATTTGCAGTAGCCATGCAATACAAGACATATCATGTGCGTGAAATTTCAAGACCCTAGCTCAATAATTACGCTTGATATCCTAATTTTCGCAGTGGCGGAAAGGGAGCGTGGCGATACCATAACATAAACTTGAGATGTGTGTTCTACAGAGACCTGGAACGAAGTTAGCAAAAACCTTCATGAGAAATCTGTGATTCAACAATGAGTTTCTTTTTTCTGCTCAAAAATAATAATTATTTATGATTTATTGTAAAATTAATCAAAATTAATCATTATCGATGAAGAAAATAATAAAAATCAGAAATTAAAAAATCGATGATGTTGTTGTAGTAGTTATCAAATCTCCGCTTAAGTGGTAACTTAAACCTAACTATTTGTTGTTGTCATCGAAGTCATCTAACGGCAGGCCCAGGAAGCGTGATGTAACTTGCTTCAGTATCCAGAACGAGGTTGTGCTAGAGTCACTCTAAATTCTCGGAGCAACTCGAGCTCTTCATCTGCTATGTGTGGTAGTTAGAATCTAAGTACGCCATTCACTAGGAGGGAGTCGGTGAAGATGTTGATGGCTACACTGTGAATGACGGTCAGTGCGTTTCTGAAGTTTGTTGCGTTCGTAGTCTGGTCGGTGTACTGTTTTGCGAAACATACCAACAGAAACTGCTTGGAGTGGAGTGCATTGTGTTCCTTGACCGGAAGCATACGGGCCTCATTATGTTGTTCGACAGGAGACATCAAGAGGCACCCTGTATTTGTACGGAGAACAGTATTCTGACACGTCCGAAGATTCTTCGACTGCGTGTCAAGCCTAAAATATTAGGTTTGCTGACAGTCGGAATTTTAACGCCACCGACTGTGATTTTAAGATCTAGTCTGTACTCCTTCGTGGCAAAACTGCTTGTGAGTTGCACGGTATGTGTAGTTTCCGCTTTAATTCTTTCAATGTATTACAGTTTCAGTAGCCGTCACTTCCTGGGTATTTTATGGCTTATAGCGGATTCACATACCACTTTTGCAGCTCTTTGCTTTGACAGATAAGCTCAATGTATGCTTTTGTATGTGTTCATTCACATAGAGGCGAACCAAAGCAAAGCGAAGCAAAATGTTGGGAAAGCTTATCTCTTGACGCTTTACCAAGCAACAGTCGACATTTTTATTAGAGTTAAAGTATTTCATAAATATTTTATTACATAAAATGTATGTGGAAAGTTTACTTATATTTTACAGATTTTATATCGTTGAACAGAGGAATACTGTACTCTAAGTTAAAAAAACGTTAAAACCACTACAAATTATATCATATTAATAACTGAACTTGACTAACTCTTGAAAATGTTAACGATTCTTAAACTTTTATTCCAACACGATTTTCAAAATTGTCTACGGCAGGCACACCTACACAAACGCGAATAATAAGCGAATATTTGTTAACTTGCATGCTTCATATTCATTTGTACAGTTCATCTTCATTTTCTTTATGGTACTTATAATCGTATTCATGCATGACAGTGCTTATTGTAGTCGGACGAGAAATAATTTCCGCCAAAGATCACGTTTAAACTTGTTTTAATGACTATTTAGAAGCTTGATGGCGTCACTAAAAAACAGTATTTGGCAAAATTTACTGTCTTTGGAACAGTTGTAGGTTATTTATGGTATGTGTTCAGCGGTTTCTAAACACCAACTCCAAGACAATAAATTCTGGGAAAAATAATATCGCGCTTTTTTGAGATATACATACATATGTATGTATACATGCAAGCCATAGGGATGTTTTCTCAAAAATATTTAATATGTAAATATTTATTAACAAGTAAGAGATAATTTTTTATTACAGAAAAATATGTCTTCTCAATATCATTAAGATATCCAACAGACTGTCTGTTTGTCCAGCTGAAAACGCCTGACTCTTTTTTACGAGTTAACACATTTTTAGTAGTTTTCAACATAACTCATTATGTATCTCGATTAGTTTTAAGTGTTACAAAATAACCGTTAGGTGAACAAAACTTTCATACTCTGTGCAACATGTTACGACATACTACACTTCATCCCGACGGTAGCAAAAACGAAAGCCGAAAAATCTGTTGATCGATGTTTCAATTAAAGTAAAAAAAAAAACACGACGCTAAGGTCCTGCATGGATGAAACCAAAACAACATAAGCTGTGCAAATACTTAACAAATAAATGCATACAACGAAATTGACAGTCCCCATTCAGTGTGCGTATAAGTATAGCGCTGCCTTAGACGTCGTGTACGAAAAAGAGTATTTAACGAACGACACAATGCAGCTGCAACACCACCCTAGCACCAACAGCAACCAGAATTGTCAGCAGACAGAAAACACGAGTAGCAGCCGAAACGCATAATCACATTGTCCCAGTATATTGGATGTGCAGTGCAAGCAATGAATACATCAACGAGATCGTGCCGTCTCAAATAAGCGTGCGAGCATCGCCTTTGGGGTTTAACTTGAAAAATCTGTTGCATATCGTTGCCTCATCGTTTCGCAGCCTTGCTTACTAGAGCACTTAGCTCACTCCCTATCAACACAACATAGCGTCGCAAATGACTTCCGCTGGGCTTCACACAGCTGAACGAACTCGTCTCGGTCGTTCGCTTGCATTTCGCGGCCTCGTGCTCTGCCTTTCAACATATGAATGCTGTTCATGTCTGTTTTCATTAAAGTTTAAACATTTCGTGTGCAATATACATTTATATATATTTAAGGGGTAACTTTACAGCACTGAAAGTCAGCTCAGACCCATCTTTACACCCGCAATCGTTTCGTTTGGGCAATGCTGGTCGTTTGTTTGCATTAACTAGATGAAATGTTGCATGTTTTCTCGCTTTCAGAGTATTGCTCATGTTTGGTGGCATGTGGCATGGGGCAGGTTTTTGTGCGAGTGGGTTTCGTTGCTGCGATTACGCGTCCTACACTCCGAAGCGTTCAACAGCAAACACGCTTTTGATGAATGCACAGTTGCTGATTTTAAATTCAGTTCAAATTTCGTTCATTTCTTACACTTTTTCAGTCTGGTAAGTTTATATGAATGTATGTGTGTACAAAATTTTACTAGACAAGATCTTATGGAGTTACTGAGGATTTCAGGCGTTCAGACCACGGTCAGGTTAGTCAGCCGCTAAAAGTATTCCCCTTTACAACACCTCCTATCCTATATGTGTAGATATTAGGGTGGAGCGAAACAATTTCTTTTTTGTTTTGCTTAGCCTGAAGGTAAAATCTGTAGATTATAAAAAAAGAAAATTTTTTTAACATCTAGAGGCGGCGCGGCGCATTCAGTTTTATCGTAAAGTTTCGAGTTAAAATTTTTATTTCGTACAAATTTTTTGATAAGTGTTCCAGCAGTTGTGGAGAGTCCTCTTTCTGGCCAATTAAAAGTTATCAACTTAAAAAAAAATTTTGTGGTCATTATTGGAGTTTAAAAAAAGTCTTAAACGACAACATGCTTTCCTTAAGCGTTGAAACAAATTTTGAGTCAAAAACCGCCACATTCGGTAATTTAATGTAAATGCAAAGAGTTTAATCCAAAAATAATTTTTTCTTGTCCAAAAAAATTGTATCTTGAAATTTACTTTAAAACTGAGATGTTAAAAAAAATTTTTTTTAGAGCAATTTTCTTCATATTCAACGCTAAATCACATTATGTTCGAGAAAACATATCCCCTTAATTTGAGTAAAATATCACACATTTTGACCAACATAAACGGTTTGAAGTCAGGTGGAAAGTTGGAGATCACTTGTACTGACTCATTTTTTATTTATTGGGGTAAATATTCTTTCCGATTTTCATTAATTATTATACAGATTGAACGATATTTTCAGTAAAAAGTCAGTTATAGGTACAGGGTTTAAAAGTTATAGTCCGATAATTGTTATACGCGCAATAGTATACCTTAAGGCACTATTTGAGCAATGGAATAAGAGCAATAATTATATTTTTGTCTTTGAAAGCGAAATCTGGCGAATCTAAGATGCTGCATATGATTACTCTTCTTCTGGTACATACTACGGACCCAGGAACATTCGACACAGTGGACTTCACTGGCACTTCAAAAAACCGGCCTTATTTTGGGAGTTAAGTTAAGTTGCTTTGCTTGTTGATTGTTCCAAACACTTGCTTCGTAATTATTCGCAAGATTTTAAATTGTAATATATAGCAACTTATTAGCATTAAACTAGGTCTTTGTTAATCTTTTCCGGAACTTTTGCACAAGGAAAATAAAACTACACAATACACGTGAATTATATAGCATAAATAGTGTTGATTAACTCTTCAAACATTCCCGTCGCTTACTTTTTGCTGACAACGTCATTTATCGACTTCAGCGATCATTGCAAGTATTGCGTTGTATCTACCGCTTATGTTAGATTGATTATACTTGTACATATGGCATTATATGACGCGAATGGGTACACAATCTCAAATCAAATCTGTATACAGCTGCGGTCACCTAATTAGCAACGCTGCTGTTTGAATCATGTTACCATTTATAAGTGGAAAAGTTGACTAGAATAATTTAAACTTTTGGAGGTTGATTATGCCCCAATTCACTGTTTTCTAATTAATATGTAGTTTGTTAATTTAATTTAATGCTCAAATAGGCAAGTAACAGGCATATTGTCATAGGAATATGGAAACATTACATCTCTCAGTATAGAAATATATTGGTGCTGATCCATATAACCCTCAATTTTTGCGCTCCATATCATTATATTATCGCCGCCGTGCTTCAGCGTGGGACGAGTGTATTTGAAGTCATACTCTTAACATCGCCGTCGCCGAACGTTTTTCCATCTGGTGACAGTCTATTTATTTTTCGTTTCATCTGAAAATAAAACTTTTTTCCACTCTTTTGGAGTCCAATGACGATATTTCTTGGTCTTTTGGCAGTTTCAAGTGATGGTTTTAATTTTCCCCAAAAATATGCACACGAATTTTATTTGCTGTTTGCTTGGGGTATTTTTTTGATTCAGTTACGATTCGCTCGTCATCTCTATAAGAGAGCCACCATTTTAAAATTGAATCAAGCAAAAAGTTTTACCAGATTAAAGAAATATTGGTGTTAGAACAAAAAGATTTCTTTGGGGCATTTCGTTGTTATATATTTGACCGTAGCTGTATCTACCTACATATCTACAAGTATATAATATACAAGGTGCGTACCAAAGTAAACAGGACTTTAAAAAAAAAGACAGAACAAATGGTTTTATCGGTCAAATCAATTAATTGTATTCAAAATAGTCTCCTTCTGCTTTAATACAGCTTTTTGCACGCTCCAAAAGCATGT